CGTGACTATATTAATTTTGTATAACAATGCAATAAAATCTATTATGGTATTAAAATGCGATGCATTCTCGTTCGTCGAATATTTGAAATGATCGTGGAGTTATTTTGAGCATATATCGAGAAATATGTGTAGCGCATATGAACTGTGAACGTCTACGACCGCAATAACGCAACTCTCTCAAGCGCAATGATTTGTACGTCGCGTGTTAATGACAATAGAGTCGAATTCCTCGATTGAAAGAGAAATTAAACGCACCAGTTCTATAAAAATAACGCCATATCCGTCTTCTTTTCCCCGCAATTTCCTCTCGTGAACGTACACGCACACATTCACATGTGGTATACACACACGTGTACGAAACGTTTCGGGGTGCATTCATCCCTTGCGTGTGTTCCAGCGTGTACTTGCGTATGCGTATGTGAATTATTTCATGCATGTGCGTGCGCCTCTTGTCCCGTTCTCTCTTTCCGCATTAGCAGTGATCGGAGTTCCGAACAGTTCCGAAGAAGACCGGGGAGAGGAAAGCCGCCCGTTAAAGAAAGTTCTTACTTCGCTCCCCACGAAGAGAAACAGTGCGTCTATTCCTCCACATCTCTCCGGTTCTTTCCTCCTCCCCCCCCCCTCCTCCTCTTTTTTTGTTTCCAAAGACGTGCCATAATGCGCGTAATTACTTCTCTAAAGGACGCGAGTCTCGTTTTTAATGGATTGATTAATGCGCGAGGCGTGATCCAGTAGGGAAAAGACGGAAGAGGAAGAAGACGACGGAAGAGGCGAGGGGCAGATCGGTAGCAGCAAGAAAAGGGTTGATTTCCTCACAATTGCGCGTTGATCGTCGGATTTACGAAATTAATGTATTAAAAATTTCTCTCCAATAATCTTTATGGCTAAGTTGAAAATGAATCCGCGCGCGTACACATCGTTCGTTCAAATCTCTTTACAAGCGCGACGTAAGAGGATTAAGACCGCGAGGATATTTGCAATGATTTATCGCACGAGAAAAAAGATTAAGTAAAATTTTGTAGAGAAATATTAATGACATACAATAATTTAAGCGTGGGATACTCACAATAGTTTCACACAATTTAATAAAAATTTATTATACTTGTCACATTTATATAATACGTAGTTGTTAAAATACAAACAGACGACCGTTCTGCGATCTCTGAAGATACAAGCTTTAAGTAGATAGACGCGCCTGCCGTTTTCGAGCTGCAGAAGGCATCATATGATCGACGCGATCGAGATGACATAAGCACAGTCGAGAAAATACAAGCACGATCCTAGGAAAAGGAGTAGGTATTCGAGCGAGATTCGCGTACGCGACCATTCTTTGTTTATTCTTGATCGTGGTATAGGGTTTAAGTGTGTTGGTGGGGGTGTGCAGCTGCATGAGAGGTGCGTTGTTGTGTTTCAGTGCTCACCTCTATGACGGGGCTGACCTTGAACTCTCTGAACACCCAGTCAGCGAAGAAGTTGTTCACCTGCCAACTGTGCGGCAAAGTACTATGCAGCAAAGCATCCCTGAAACGCCACGTTGCTGACAAACACGCCGAACGACAAGAGGAGTACAGATGCGTCATCTGCGAGCGGGTATACTGCTCGCGTAATTCCCTGATGACCCATATATATACCTATCATAAGAGCAGGCCCGGCGACATTGACATTAAGTTCTTTTGAAGGTTTAGATAAGGTAGGGACCACGCTAAACACACCTATGGCGCACAGCATTTCGAAGATCTTTAACATGATCTCTCAAAACTCACCCCTATACGACTTAACAAACACAAGACACATTTCCTTCCTTTCTCTCTCTCTCTCTCTCTCTCTCTCTCTCTCTCTCTCTCTCTCCCTCCCCCTCCCTCCCTCCCTCCTCTGTTACTCTTTTATCCTTTTTCTCTCTATCTATTTTTTATTCTCTTCTTGTATACATATTCGCGCAAATACATATCGAAACTCGCTTGTTTCCCGGATCGCGCCTTCCTTAAGATTTATTTTGCATTCCCAATTTTTTTCGCGTTCATTCGCGCATTGCCATCGTCTTCTGTCCAACTCGGTCGGATGATCCGCCATCCCGACGTACGAAAAGCTTTCCTTTTCTTCCTTCTCGTTCCGCACCGGCACTCCGCGAATGGTGCATGCCATGGCGAGAAACCGGTCTCGGATTGTACACGGGACCTTCTTTCTCTTCTTGTTCGCCTTACGGTCCGAGTCTCGCCGCTCGCGCACCGTCGTGTCCGCATCCCGGCTCGCGTAACTGCTTTCTTTCCTCTTATCCCGTCGTCCTTCGCGCCCCTTTTCAGTACCGTACGCGCCGTTGATCGAGTTCTTCCGGTATTCACCGGTCCGTTATATACCTGCTGTCAGTGACTCGAATCCCACGATGCATCAGTAAAGCAGCATGCCGCCTAACTACATCTACGCATAGCAAACACAAGATACGGATATTTTTTTTTTTTTCAAAGTCTACTATCTAAAAAGACAGAAGAAGTCTAGAAAATTG